GTAGCCTATGCTTTTGCATCTGCGGACAGAATGCAACCCTTCTGCAACCTCTTAAAACCAAACACACCCTTCAAATGGAATGAGTTTATGGTCAACCTCTTTGAAAAACCAAGGCCACCATACTTCAGGACATACAACGAGGAGTAGAAATATTTGACATATTTGACAAAAGAAGACCAACATGCCTCGCAACGGATTTCAGCAAGGGCGGCATTGCCTTCTGGCTTCCCCAAAAGCACTGCAAATGCACCCCAAGCAAGCCATTATGTTGCCGCTTAAGCTGGAAAGTCACATTAGTAGGCAGTCGCTTCATATCCTCGGCTGAATCAAGATATGTCCTCATTGAAGGAGAAGAACTGGCCGTAGTGGATGCCCTAGAAAAAAAATTCGTCATTTTGTCCTAGGTAGCCCCGACCTCATCATCACAGTCAATCACAAACCCCTACTTCAAGTGTCGGTGACAGAAGCTTAGAAGCCGTCCCCATCCCACGACTCAGAAATCTGAAAGAGAAAACATTGAAATACAGATTCCAAATTGCCCACATTCCAGTAATATGGCATATCTCTGCAGATGTTATCTCACGACACCCAGTTGGACCCGCTACTCGCCTTACCCAATCTGACGATGCAACCCCAGTCTCTATTGACAACCCTAACCTTCTGACCATGCCTCATAACTTCCTTATCGCTATCAGAGCACAACCAGATATCCTTACGCTGTTTTCCAGTGAAGAAGACTCTCCAGGAGGGATCAGTTCTATCACCTGGAATGATATCCATGTGGCCACCAACAGTGACAACTTGAAGGTCAAACTCATTGATCTGATTGAAAATGGATTTCCCGAGGCAAAGGACCACCTACCAACTGAACTAAAACCATATTACCAATACAGAGACAAACTAACCAGTTTTGATGGCGTGGCTCTATACAGTGACCGCATAATAATACCTCCCAACCTGCGCATCAACGTTCTCCAAGCGCTCCACTCCGCCCATCAAGGTATCTCCCAGATGTGCTCTCGGGCCGATGCCTCATTCTTCTAGCCGGGTATGACCTCGTCAATCAGTGAAATGCGTATGCGTTGCTCTCCCTGCAACCGTATAGCCCCGTCACAACCAAGCGCTCCACCCACCCCACCTATACAACCGCAATACCCTTTTCAGTGCATATGTGCTGACTTCTTCCACTATGCCTGACACAGCTACTTGGTGATCGTGGACAGGTACAGCAACTGGCCCATCGTGGAAAGGGCATATGGTGAATCCAAAGGTCTCGTATCCAGCCCTAGGCGCACATTCACGACATTCGGTATCAGTGATAAACTCTCCTCTGATGGTGGCCCGGAGTTTCTGTCTACAGCCACATCAACATTTTTACGTAACTGGGGAGTTCACCACCGCCTTTCATCCGTCACATTTCCGCTCAACAATAGCAGGACTGAGATAGGCGTGAAGACCATAAAAAAGATGATTATGGATAACACCGGCCGTGATGGCTGCCTCAATACTGACTCGTTTCAACTTGCCATTTTTCAGTATCGCAACACACCTGACAGAGGCACATGGTTGTTCCCAGCAAAGTGCATCTTTGGGCGACCGATCCGTGATTTCATACCAATCCATCCCGAGAAGTACTTGCCCCACACAACCTTGCAAGAAACCTTATCCAACAGAGAAGAGGTTCCCAGGAATCGCCATATGCGGATTGCTGAAAGACTGTCGGCTCACACCCGCGTCTAATCCCCTCTAGCGGTTGGAGACTGTGTTCGTATACAAAACCAAACTGGGCCCCACCCAACCAAGTAGGACAAAACCGGACTTATCATTGACGTTCGTCAATTCGACCAGTACGTGGTAAGAGTAGACGGATCAGGCAGAGTGACATTGCGCAACAGGAAATTGCTCCGTCATTATGTAACAGTGATTGCCAGATCCCTACTGGCCTCATTACCCTCACCTACAGTCATGGTGACAAAGAACATACCCACATGCCCGGAACCAGTCAACGTTCCAGAGGCGGCACAGCCTAGACTTTCACCTGATAATAGTTCCCAACCGCGGGATGACACCCTCACTGACAGTCCAGTAGGTGACCCAGAACCCATTGACATAACCAAGACACCAACCGTAGAAGCGGACAGATCTCCACCCATGAAGACAACCCGCATGCCCGTGCTTTGAGAGCTCAACAGTCCTACAAAAAGCCCGGACTGAAAGAGAGTCTACTACTTGACAAACGTTTAAGAGACAAATAACTTTGACACTCTGTTTTATTAGAGCACATTTTGTGACTATTGACAGTGATTCCTCGGTTACGCTCTGGTTTAGATAGCTTAATTTGTTCACTTTTTACTATTTTGTTAAGTTTGTAGTTGTAGTCCAATTGGGAGCCTTCCCTTTACAAAATTCACTTAGTCCTCAGCCTTTTTGTGTGTAACATGTAACACATATACCCTCCAAAGGCTGGGGGACATAGAGGATATTCAGTTGATTTGTGTTGTATGTAAGTTCGTCCACACCTGTTATTCGTGTGTCCTCAAGTATCTATGTTGTCGTGTATTCACAGGTACCTGTGTCAAGCGTGACTTTGTATTGTTATTGAAATAAAAGACTTTGTATTGTTATTGAAATAAAAGAAAATAATAAATTCGAAACAAAGACTGTGAAAGTTATTTAATTGTGTCGACATGCATTTCCTTTACTCAAACTAATCTTTTCTGGCTATAGTTCCTTTCAGAAATACTCCGCTTCTAATCTCTTGGCCCACACACTAGGCTATCTTAGATAATGCCACGTAACTCGGAAGAACGGCTGCAGCATTGGAATTGAAGGCCGGTTACGTCCGCAGTGAATCTGGGTGAGGTGAAGTAAAAAAGGATTAATGCCAAAAGCGACGACCGACAAGTTAAATGCGCTAAAAGGCCGAAAGGGGTGCTGGAGCATTCTCGATGTGTAGAATCGATTGTATAGTGTGTAGTTTTTGTATCAGACGACTTTTATCGTCTAGTCTATTGTGTGTTTGTGTGCATGTGCTTGTGTGTGTGTGTGTGAGTGTGTGTGTGTGTGTGAGAGAGAGAGCGTGTATGTGTGTCTGTGTGTTTATGTATGTGCGTGTGCGTGCGTGTGTATATATGTTTAGCGTCAAAGAGGACATGGTTACATCATGTGAATAAAAAGTGGATACAGATTTTTCATAAGAATAAAGATAAACGTGTACCTCCAAGATTTCCAAAATTTCTTAAATGTATCAGTAAAGTGGCGTCCGCACTTTTTGTTTCACATAAATTCCCGCCAAACATAAATTTTCACTAAAGTAGGCAAAGTTTACATCACCTTATCAGCAATGATAAATTTTCCTTCCAGATTATTTTTTTTCTCATTTAATGAAATTCCACAAGGACAGAATTCTACATTTTCTGTACTAACATCCAGATTTCACTCACTCTTACACACACACACACACACACACACACACACACACACACACACACACACACA